GAATTTCTCTCTCTCCCTCTCTCTCGCTCTCTCTCTCTCCCGCCCATTTCTTGGGGAGTATTCCCATGTCAGCCGGGGATTAAAGGGAATCTGAAGTGAAAGGGGGCAGCGGGCCCAGAAAAAGGGTGGCGGCTTGTTTGATGGCCTGGGGGGACCATAGTTAGGGGGTATTCAATCTGGGAGAATTTCTATTTTTGTAGATACTCGCTCTCTCTCTCTCTGTCTCTCTTTCTCCCTCTCTCTCGCTCACTCTCTCTCTGGCTCTCTCTCTATCTCTCCCTCTCTCTCCCTCCATCTCGCTCTTTCTCTCTCTCCCTCTCACTCACTCTCTCTCTCTTTCTCGCTCGCTCTCTCTCTCTCTCTCTCTCACTTTCCATATGTAAAAAAATCCTGTAAGAAGCAAAGAATGTTTCGTGAAATTGGCTGAAGTGGGCGCAATTTGTAACAGGAATTCGTCTTCGTAATCGTTGTCACCTCGTAATCAAGAGATTCGAATTGATTGTTTTTGGCCCTGGCGCCGTGAATTGAAATTATTTAGAAAAAGAATAGAAAGAAATACGTAGAAAAATGAGGGGCACGCTAGCAGAGAGAATTGAGGAAAATTATGGCAAGCTGGCAGAGAAAATTCAGGAAAATTAGGGTAAGCTAACCGAGAAAATTTATGGCAGCCATGAGAAGGGCTCGTATGGCAAGAGCAAAAGAATTTGGGGAATCCAAAAAGGCAAAAATTCAGTACAAACACACCTGACGCTTTTTAAAAATAGGTTTCAAATTTTTAGATTAATGAGGAAAAATGGAAAAGCATTTTTACAGCAATCACGAAAATAAAACGTTTCATAATTTTGACATCAACTCTTAATTTAAATAATACTTAATCGAATACTCGGGACGTTGGGTCAGAAAAATGAAGAAGGTCCGCGAGAACCTGGATGCCATTAGTGAGGCTGTGAAGGCAAGCTAGCAGAGGGGATTTGCGGAAATTTAAAAATTAATTCCTAATTGAAAATGTGAAAACATCACAACGCACATGCCTACAAAAAGAGGAAATTCCGCGTGAATCCGATTGACGTCGGGAAGGGCTAGGAAGGCAAGCTAGCAGAGGTGATTTGCGGTAATTTCAAAAATGAAATTCGTTCTCCAAATCCGGAAAACCTCAACGTTTAATTCAACAAAAATGCGGAAATTCCGCGAGAATCCGATTGACATGAGAATAGGGAAGGGGGCAAATGAAAATCGGCATGAAGAAGGGCTTCGTTTATTATTCGCCTGAAAAGAGGGGCGGATTTGTGGCTGAGAGACTCCATCTTTTGCGCGCGTAAATAGGAATAAATCGGATGATTATTCACCACCGGGAATGGCTTCCGGGTCTTGAGAAAACGAAGCTTCAATCGATTTGAGAAATCGATTTTTTCAAAAAAAAATGTTTCGTCAAAAATTAAAAAACAGCAGCAATTTTTAGTCTATTATTGCTGCGAAGCGACCTAAAAATAAAAATTGTTTTAAGGTATCACTAATTTTTCGAATTTATAACTAGAAAATCCCAATTCGGAAATTCTTCAAAAATGATGTTTCGGAGAAAATTCAAAAAAAATATTGCCACGAGGGATTAATTCTGGTGTAATTTCTATTTTTCGGAGCGGAAGTTAAATTCGTATCCGGAATTTAAAAACGAATAAAATTGCATCGATTTTTTGAGAAATAGGATTTTTTGTAAAAAATAAAAAAATAAAAAATGCATTTCCTAGCGTCAATAATTCGTGGGATGCTTAGCCCCGGAATCAATTCCTAAAGTCATCTTTCCTAAAGTCATCTTTCCTAAAAGTCATTTTTCCTAAAAGTCATCATTCCTAAAAGTCATTTTTCCTAAAACTTGGTAATCGTAAATTTTTATTTTTCCTCAATCACTTTTTTCTAAAAACTATTATTTTCGAAGATTAATTTTTTCTGAAGTTAGGTAGGCGAATAGGGATGCCACCTCCGCCTAACTTCAAAGCTGCTACCTGTGTAGGAACGGCAAAATGCCTTGAACGCCGTCAGCCCTCATAAAGCTCTTAGTCGCATCGGAGCTATCCTATTTTTTGATTTCTGAATAGTTTTATGAATTCAAAGATAGCATAACTTAAATCAAAACATCCCGAAAAGGTCTAGTACGGCATGGAGACATTAAAATTTTACGGCCCGGGCCTCTCCAAAAAAAATTTTTCTTGAAAAAAAACCAACTGAGAAATATTGATTTTTAGGAAAAATGACTTTTAGGAAAAATGACTTTTAGGAAAGATGACTTTTAGGAAAGATGACTTTTAGGAAAAATGACTTTTAGGAAAAATGACTTTTAGGAAGGATGACTTTTAGGAAGGATGACTTTTAGGAAAGATGACTAAAACCCTTAGCCCCGGAAGTGCCAGTTTGTAAAGCAATAAATTTGCCGGTCTTTGAAGCGATTACATTACAGGCTTTCTCAAAAGAACCATGTTCACCAGAAATCCAATCTTGTTTCTGAAGTCCTAAAAAAATCCTGTTTCATAAAAACTCTGAAAATAATGAGTTTTTTTGTCGTCATTAATTCGGCAACGGCAGTGGGGGAAAATGCATTTGGAAATGAGAAAATTCATAGATTGCTTACGTTAGTACCTTTCCAGGTTCCGGGCAAATTCAGAGCCACCCTAATTTTCAACCCAATAAATGCGCAAATTTTTGAATCTAGGCACTTCGTGCCTTGAAAAAATTACATACGGAATTTTTGAAAAATCATGTTTCGGCAAAAATTTACTTGACTGGTGTTTGGAGTTACTAATTTATTCCGAATTCGGATGCAATACACACACATTTATGCGAATTGCGAAAGCGTCCTGACTCCGAAAAGAAGGAAAATAGCTCATTTTTTGAAAAATGAACTGTGTCATAAAATTTAGAAACTGGGAACTTTAGCGGAATCAACGTCATGAGATCCTGAAATTGCTCTACATTTCTTTTTCAAAAGCGTGTTTCAGGACACATTAAAAATAAGTTTTTGTTGGGGCGTGTAATTTTTGGTAGTTGATCACATAAAACCTGACAATTAGTAGTTAATATTGCCTAAAAAGTGGTAATGAGTATTTCATCAATTTTTTTTGCTTGCTAATGCACCCCGAGGCTCGAAAAAATCAAGTAAGCCGTAGCGGATTTTTCATACCGCGATTTCAAGGAAAAATAGCTTCACCTCGATCTTCCGAATAATAATGTTTCGTAGGTAAACCAAAAAAATTCTGTAATTAACATATTAATAGGCTGGCTAAAGAAAGGTAATAATTGTTGTAATTTTTTTTAATTAGTAAAAAGTGCAGGTAATTTTTGAAACAAAAAAAACTTTGAAACTAGTGCTAGAGAGCAAGCTATCCCTTGAGAAACGCGTAATTTAATTAAATTTAAAAGAGGTTAGATTGCTAAAGGCGGCTATGGAAATTTAGGCAAAAAATCCACAAATAGATTGATCAATCTCGGGTTTTTGAAAACGGGTTTCATTTTTTGGCAGAGATCAAAGGCAATCTGCGGAGTCAATTCTCGGCTTCTAAAATCTGGCTGGTTTCCCGAAAATCTGCGGATACAAGAAAAATACGCACAGAAAAAGGTATTTTTCATCCGGGGGCCACCGCACAACGAGCGAGCGAGCCAAGGGCCCGGCGGCCACAAATTTCCGGTTTGCCCGTTCACTGGAGCGAATCGGAGTGGCAAGAAAGGGTAGGGCCCGTTCTTTTTATTTTCTATAGCTGTTTTCTCCCTCGCTCTCTCTCTCCCTCTCTCTCTCTCTCTCTCTCTCTCTCTTCTCCAGCGAGCAATAAAAACCTGGGGCTCCCATAAAAATAATCTATTTTCGGGGAGGACCATTGGCCAAAAGGAAAAGGCCAGGAAAAATAGGAAAAACGTTCTTGATGTTCTACCGTAGTTTTTAGTGAATTTTAACCTTAAAAATGCTTCAAAAGTGCCGACTACATTTTTTTACAGCACGAAAGTCAAAAAGTGGGACCTTCCCGGATTGGCCCTTCCATTCGGCCATTGGCACCCATCATGGGCGAAACATATTTTTTGTAGAATGCCAAAAATCTTGGTGACGTATGGTACGTGTTTTAAAGGTTTTTCATCAAGTTCACGATAGTTAAATTGTAAAAAAAACTAAACGTTTCATAAATTCGGAATTTTTGTCGAAAACCGACATTTTTGTATGTTTTAACCAAAATTTGTAAAGTATTTGGGTCTAGGAATATAAAAAAGACGGTATAGAAACACTTTCTCTATTGATATTGGCAAAATGGATGACGAACGCTTTCGAAGCTTTTATTGACATCTCGACCAGGCACTCGACATTTATCAGAGCCGAAACATATTTTTTGTAAAATGCCAGTCTTGGCGTCTGACGTAAGAGTAGGTGTTTTAATAGTTTTTCTCGTAAACTGCAACCATATTCGCATGGAATAAATTGTCGAAAAAGCTTTACTAAAAATTTCAGAAATTCCGAATTTTTGTCGAAAACGATATTTTTGTATTTTTTTAGTAGGAATTTGTAGAGCTTTCAACCTTCGTAATAGTAAAAACCGTTTAGAAACACTTCCTCTATTTATATTAGCAAAATTGGAGATGAAACAAACAAAGCCCCCCCCCCCCGATAACGGAAAAGCACCGGATCTGGGCTAGAAGGTAGTTTTCAATGCGTATTAATCTACTTAACCTAGCAAAAAATGGTTCTGGTTCGTTAGCGGGTGGGGGGGCGGCCGGCGCAGACCTATTCCCCCCCGCTAACGAACAAGAACCCAAAAATCGTCTAAATACTGCCATCAGGATCAAGCCAACTCTCAAATGCCTATCAACTCGTTTATCATCAGCACATCTACACGCTACACTTTAATCACAAAACAAATGCACGAAAAGAACGAAGGAAAGAAAGAAAGAAATAAATAAATAAATAGAGAGAGAAAGAAATAAATCGAGGAAAAAGAAATGGCTGGACTTGTTGAAGATGTGGACTAGACGATGACGCTGCTCCTGGCCGACTTGACCATGGTGTCGGGTGGTTTCGCGGGATTTTGAGAGTCTTCGGGGCGTTGGGCATCTTCTGGCGTCGACGTCTCCAGCCAGGACACTGGTGGGGGTGGCTCGTATTTCTCTGGAAAAAGGGATCACTCGCTCACTCTTTCTCTCTCATGCTCTCACTCACTCGCTCTCTCGTGCTCAATCTCTGTCTCTCTCCTAGCTCGTGCTCTCTCCCGCCAAAAAACTTACTATTCTTGAAGTAGACAGTGAGCACGAACAGCGCGACCACACAGAGCACGAAAACACGCGATTGCACCCATCCTTCGTCACTAGAAAATAATGGATACGATGGGAGGTACTGGTCTGTTATCGGGGGCTGACTTTAAAGACCGTCAGAACGGTCAAATATCGTTTAGGGCAAGAAAGTTGCGCACCGGGTGGGGGTCGAACCCGCGATGGTTCGACCCACAGTCCGACGCGCTAGCCACTATACCACAGGGCCGAGTGGAGAAGGGAGTCAGAGGCGCCCCAAATCCCAGAGGGTCTTTGCCCAATACGGGACACCACTAATGACGACCCTCTCTACGCGTTCTTGGGGGCAGCACCCTCGGGGTGACAGGGCGCGTTCCATCGTTCTGGTAGTCTTTAACGGGGGTCTAAACTAATTTTTATGCTCGTAAAAAATTGGTCCCCCGGCTAAGAGTACAGTACCTCCAACTGGGCTCGGTGACGACGAGCCGAGTGGGGTTGGTCCCATGCGACGCCTCGGTCGTCATCGTGGTGGTGGTGGTGGGCGCCGTGGCGATCGTGATCCGCCAGTCATCCTGCAAAAAACCTCCGGTTCTCTGGCGTTATCGGGGGTGGCAGAACTATAGCATAGCACAAATTTCGATTTAATACTACCGGGAAAACAGCGGCCCTTCCGTAAACCTACCGGATACTGATGGTTATCGTCCCTGACGTAGGTGGGCGAGGGCATGGCCAGTGGTTCTATCTAAAAAGTACGCCAATCGTTAGTTTTTCATTAAAGGCCTCTGGAACGATGGTTTGCACGAAAAAGCAAAAGAAGTTTGCACCGGGCGGGGTCGAACCCGCACCGTGAGAATGAGAGCCCAGCGCGCTATCCACTATACCACGCTCACCAACTGGGAGGGGGCGGCGGAGAGGGATGGCCTGCCTGAGCACCCCCTTTCCCCACGCGGCGCTCCTATGTACGCCGCCACGTTTGTACGTGTATGTACGCGTTATAAAAGTTTTTTTTGCTGTTGTAGAACTATTTTTATTGCAACAAAAAAACCTCCCCCGAGAACGAAAAAGCAGCAAAAAAAAAACCTCTCCCCCGCTAACAGCCCAGTCCATCAAAAACGAACGCTCTTCTTGTAGGCGTCGAACAGCGCGAAAAATCCGGGGCTGACAGGGCTGTGCAGCACGCTGCCCATGCTGTCGGGCCAGTTGCCGTTGGGGGTGGTGGGGGCGGTGGGGATGTAGGGGTCTTCTGAAATTCGAGTCACGGTATCTATCGGGTAAACTACCACAGGTAAGAGTTCAGTTTACCCCCCGCAACCTTTGTATCTCGGCTCCCTGTTCATCTACAGGTGTATAAAGCCTACCAAAATGTTCATCTTGCTCTGGCGAGTATTTTGGTATACTTTACACAGCTGTAGATGAACAGGGAGCCGAGATACGGTAAGTGGGGGGAGGGGGTAAACTGAACAACAGCCCTACCACATTCCATGGACCCAGGGTTACTTCTAACCACCCCCGCCCAGCATCCCGTCACGATCGAACTGTTTCCGGTCATGTTCCCGTTGTCGCAGAAGGAGACGTGGTAGGGAGCCGTGCTCGGCTGGGCGCACGCTGGAAAATCAAGGGTAACAGCAACATCCCGCTCCCAGCTTTTTGATGAAAAAGCAAAAAGCCTGGTCACGGCGGGGGGTCGAACCCGGGCCTTGTGCGCGGCAAGCGAGCACACAACCAATGAGCCAACAGGCCGATGGGATCGGGCTATGGTTCAGTTTATCCCCCCCCCCCTACCGTATCTCGGCACCCTGTTCATCTACAGATGTGTAAAGTACACCAAAATGTTCGTCTTGCTCTGACGAGTATTTTGGTATACTTTACACAGCTGTAGATGAACAGGGAGCCGAGATACGGCAGGTGGGGGGGGGGGTAAACTGAACCACAGACCCCCAAGGCCCGCGAAGCGGGTTTTTCGGCGCTGGTTCCCTGATAATTTGAACAAAAACCGACCATATCTGATCGACTTGTACTTCCCATTGAACAGCACCCTCTCGAAGAAGACGAGGCCTTGGTCATGGTGCTCCATCTCGCGCTCCACCTCCACACAACCGTACACCGGATGCCACGGCGGATGGGCTATGTCGCACACCTCATCCTGCAAACAGCAGTTGAGAAACGCCGATGCTGCACCACTACCCCGCTGTACGGCTTGAAGTCGGTGAAGTCGCGGGGCCCGCGCGGGTACAGCACGCCGTAGCCGAAGCGGGCCTTGTGGAACTCGATCAGGCGCTTCAAGTCGTGCGAGATCTAAGGTGGTTCTGGACTGTTAGCGGGGGGTAAATTGGTTAGAATGCAGTTCCCCCCCCCCCCCGCCGACCCCCACCTACCGTATCTCGGCTCCGTGTTCATCTACAGGTGTTTAAAGCATACCAAAATACTCGTCAGAGCAAGACGAACATTTTGGTATACTTTACACACCTGTAGATGAACATGACGGATGTAGGGATCCTCTGAGATTACAGTCACTGTACCTATCGGGTAAGGTACCACAGGTAAGAGTTCAGATACCCCCCCAGCCGACCCCCACCTATCTCGGCTCCTTGTTCATCTACAGGTGTGTAAGGTATACCAAAATGTTCGTCTTGCTCTGGCGAGTATTTTGGTTTACTTTACACACCTGTAGATGAACAGGGAGAAGAGATACGGTAGTTGGGGGTCGGCTGGGGGGAGGGGGGGGTGGTAAATTGCACCTGAGGCACCAAATTTTTCCCGTGTTTCTCTACGACCCTCCAAAAAAATAAGCCATTTTTATCGCATTTTACATAGTTTTTAGCCATGAGAGCAATATAAAAACAATACTAAAAATTTCGCAGTTTTTGGACTTTTTGAGCAAAAAATGTATAAAAATGACCAAAAAAGGTAAAAATTTTCGAATTTTAAAAAGTTTTAAAATTTTTTGTAATTTTTCTAGCAATCAAAAACGGCTAAAAACACTATAAAAATACATAATAAATCATCAGCAGCCAAGTGCAGGCGGAAAAACAGAAAGTGGCCCCCCCGCTAAGAGGCCAGAACCAGCCACTTACCCGATACACAAAGCTCGGCGGCTTGGCGCCACCATCTGGTTCTAGAAGGAATAAAATAAATAAAAGAATAAATGAAATGAAATAAACTAGAAGAAATCCGCTACTTAAAGCGCACGTTGAGGGAGGGGCCGTGTACTCGTCCCAACGTGTACACCCTATGGACGTTGGGACCGCGCGCACTGCCTGCCCGTGCTGTGACAGGCCATTCCCCTCCTTTGCGGTGTGCTGCGCCCTTCCCCCCCCCGCCAGGTTGTAGCTGTGGCTGACTGGTATCCATCCGCGCCTTCGGTGCGGGGGGCCCGGGTTCGACCCCCGGCCGCGGCAAAAAACTTTCCTTTTTTCCAAAAAAAACGTCCTTCAGTAAGCCAAAATACCGTACCACAAATGCCGGACGAGTGGGGCGCCCTCCTTTTCACATTCTTCCAGCATCCCGTCGCGTCGCCAAGTGGACCAGGTGTCATCTCGGGTCGAAGCGGAACCTTCGCGTCGCTCTCCGCACAGAATTCCGTGTCTATCGAACATTCTGGAAAGATGACAAAAATTACATTTAAATAATAAAAAAATATATAAAAATAAAAAATAAATTTTAAATGTATAAAAATTCCTAAAATTTTGGATTTTTGGCATTATCGGGGGAGGGACAAATTTTTTGTATTTCGCTAGAAAAACCTAGTAAGTTAATAGGAAGTATTTCCGTAACGTTTTTGTAAAATAAAACCGTAATTTCGCTAGAAAAACTAGGGTTCTGTTCTATTTCGCGGGGGGAAACTGTGCGGGGGGAAAATATGCTTCGCGGAATCTTCATCTTTTCGCTATTTTCTCGGGATTTTTGCAACGCCATTCGATAGAGCATCAAAAAATATACTAAGAGTTTTTGTTTTAGCTAAAAATATTGTAATATAAAAAAGTTATAGCAAAAACAACAAAAAAACTATTGAAACTGATGCCGGAATATTAATTTTTGGCATTTTCGCCAGGTTTTCGATATTTTGAACCTGTCATTCGATAGAGCATCGAAAAATATACTAAGAGTTTTAATTTCATCGAAAAATATGGTTTTATAAAAAAGTTATAGCAAAAACAAGTTTTATACGGTGTTTCCACATGGGATCGTGGAGTCGAAAGCTAGTTTTGGACATTTTCGATATTTTTCAAAAATTCCTTTAATGCCATTCGATAGAGTGTCAAAAAATATACTAAGAGTTTTAATTACAACTCAAAATAGAATCATATAAAAGAGTTATAACAAAATGAAGAAAATTTCCCCCCCCCCCGCACAGTTTTTTCCCCCCCCGCGAAATAGAACAGTACCAAAACTAGCTAAAACTTGAAATTTTTCTAAAAATTTTGAATTTTGGTCGCAAAAACCAATATATTTTTTTTGTCTTTTCTAATACAAATTTGTGAAGTTTTTACGTTTAGGAATCAGCAAAAATTGCCTAAAAACGCTTCCGATATTTTTAAAAAATTGGTTTCTGGGAAAAAATTTCTTCCCCCGATAATGCCAAAGAACCCAAATTTTTCTATTGTTTTTGTATCTGAAAACTATTGAAAATGCTGGTTTATATTTTGTTATAGGGCCGTAACGAATGACAGGGAAAAATTTGGTTCCCCCCCCGCTAATAGCCCAGAACCGAAAATTCGACAAAATGATGGCAAATCCGAAAAACTCGCCATATGTAACGAGCCGGTTAATGCCCGTGTCGTTGCTGACATCCTCACGAAATACCACCTCCGAGCCCCAGCGCCCCCGCGCCCTCCGCGCCTCGCGCTGCCCGGGTTGCGTTGATGACCCTTTGCACACGCCCTGCTTCGCGGCGTACGGCGGCCCCGACACGTCGCAGTACACCGGAAAATAAGCTTTTAGAAAATTAAAATTGTTTTAAAAAAGCATTTTATTTACATTTTAAACATTTTAAACTAAAAGCACTATTTTAAACATTAAAAATCTTTTAAAAAAACTTCATTTTTAATTAAACAAGTTTCAATTTTTTGCCTGCATCCAAAAATGGCTATTTTTTGCAAAATCGATTTTTTTAATTAAAAAAAATTATTTTTAACTTCGAGAAATTTTCAAAAAACTACTAATTATATTTTATTAGAATTTAAGCTAACGAAATTCGATGAAACCAATTTTTTGCCGTCTTCAAAAAAATGCCGGGTAACAGAAAAGTCAGTTTTTAATTCAATTCGGGTTTTAGTGAAATTTAACGGTGTTTACAGTGAAAACTACAAAAAAACTTTTTTGAATGTTAAAATTCGAATTTCAATTTTGACCAAAAATTGGCAAAATCGAAAAAGTGATATTTTTTGCATTTTATAATAAAAAAATTGTTAAGTTTTTGCATTTAGGCATTATAAAAAAGGGTTTAAAAACCGTCAATTTATACTAGAAAATTAAAAAGTAAGCTGCCAACCATCTCGCGCTCGAGCTTCGGCAAGACGGCGCCCGTCTTCGGGGCGTTCTTCAAGCCGCAGCTCGCCTCGTAGCCGTTCTTCCACATTTTGAGGTACGAGTCGGTGACTGAAAAAAACCCGGTATTTTTGCATTAGCGGGGGGGGGAAGTTTTAGACTTCGAATTTTCGACTTCCGAGCCTCTTTAAAGCAAAAACCGTCGAAAAAAGAGGGCGAAACTCCAGATACCCCCGCCAGGCGACCCCCACCTACCGTATCTCGGCCGCCTGTTCCTCTACAGGTGTATAAAGTATACCAAAATGTTCGTCTTGCTCTGGCGAGTATTTTGGTATACTTTAGACACCTGTAGATGAACAGGGAGCCGAGATACGGTAGCTGAGGGTCGGCTCGGGAGGGGGGTATCTGGAGTTTTAAAAAAACCGACTGGCGACAGACTGCCCGCCCGGATCTTTGCACATGCAGTCGCCGAGCGGCGTCGCCTCACTGTAGCAGCCCCACGGATTATTGCACACAATTTGGCCGAGTTTCGGGCAAACTGAAAAGAAAGTAGTTTTTCCGGGTTCTTTTCCATTATCGGGGGGGTTGGTAAACGCCTCGATAACACCTACCATAATTCACCTGATACCCGTCGTAATCAGTTCGAAAAAGCAGCGACTTCACTGGAGATTGGTCATCACTGGAGATTGGCCCCGGGTAGCAGCCCGTCTCCGCCGAGTACAGGGCCGGCCCGTTGATCGCGCACGTCACCTGCAAGCAGAGCTATCGATGCAGGTACTCGACTCTTAGCGGGGGGTGTAAGAGTGAAAATCCCCCCACTAACAGAGCAGTACCAGACAAAAACATTAGGCTGAACTGCCCCAGCCCCCCCGACCCCCACCTACCGTATCTCGGCTTGCTGTTCATCTACAGGTGTGTAAAGTATACCAAAATGTTCGTCTTGCTCTGGCGAGTATTTTGGTATACTTTACACAACAGTAGATGAAGAGGGAGCCGAGATACAAAAGTTAGGGGGCCGGCTGGGGGGTTATCTGAGGTCTTACCAAGCTTACCCCCCCCCCCCCGTTAACAGTACAGTGCCGTAAGGTAACGCTGGTATTTTTGAAAACTCACAGCTTCGCCCTGGGCCTGGACGTCGGCAGCAACGAGGAGAAACAGGAGCAGCAGCAACGGGCAGCCCATCTCCGCCAAGAAAGTTTGGAGGAGTGAGCTGGGAGAGCTTTTTGGGGTTTTGGAGAGCAATATGGCATGCAAATTACCGGTTTAATGCAATTTGCATGATCACTGATTTGACTCCGTTGCGAGCTCTCCCGATTCCGGAAAAACTCAAATTGCGCTCTCCACCCTGAAAATGGTGCGGCTGCTGCTCGTTTTGCTGCTCCTTGCCGACGTCGGGACCGCCGATGACAGCGTAAGGGCTGGATGCGTTCGATCTGTGCTGTTAGCGGGGGGTTTCTATTGCTCTCTCTCGCTCGCTCTCTCTTTCTCCCCTCTCTCTCTCTATCTCTCTCTCCTCTCTCCCCTCTCTCGATCTCGCTCTCCCCCCTCTCTGTCTACTCTCTCTCCCCCTCTCTCTCCCCTCTCCCTCTCTCTGTCTCTCTCTCTCTATCCCCTCTCTCCCCTCTCTCTCTCTCCCCTCTCTCTCTCTCTCTCTCTCTCTCTCTCTCTCTCCCTCTGTCGATCTCGACCTTCTCGCTCTCTCTCTCTCTCTCTCTCTCTCCTCTCTCTCTCTCTCCCCTCTCTCTCCCCTCTCTCTTCGCCAAAGAAGCTCTGCTAGCCTGCCCCCACCCTCCCCCACCGCTAAGAGTACAGACCTCCTTCCAGGTGACGTGCGCGTTGAACACGCCGCGTTTCTACGACCCGTCCACCGGCTGCTACCCGGGCCCCGTCGGAAATTCGCACGATCCGGATACGATCCTCTTTTGGGAGGTGGTCGAAGGCTATCGCGTGTATTACGGTATGGATTTCGGTGATGTGCCTGGAATTTTTGGATCTTTTGCATTATCGGGGGGGCAACCACCGTTTAAGCCCCCCCGCGCTAAAGCACTAGAACCGCTATTTTTTGCAGTATGCCCCGAGCCCGGTCACAAAGTCTGCCGGAGCAAGGGCAAGGACAAGAAGTCGCCGGACCAATTTTCGTGCCACGGAACGGCAGACCGTATCCCGCCGGAAAAGAAAGAAAAGAAATGCCAATGCTCGAAGAGAGGGGAACCACCGTCGGAAACAGGTGGGCTTGGCTTAGGCTTGGCTTAGGCTTGGCTTAGGCTTGGCTTAGGCTTGGCTTAGGCCCCGGCTTAGGCTTCTGGCTAAGGCTTGGCTTGAGGCTTGGCTTAGGGCTTGGCTTAGGCTTGGCTTAGGCTTGGCTTAGGCTTGGCTTAGGCTTGGCTAGGCTTGGCTTAGGCTTGGCTTAGGCTTGGCTTAGGCTTGGCTTAGGCTTGGCTTAGGCTTGGCTTAGGCTTGGCTTAGGCTTGGCTTAGGCTTGGCTTAGGCTTAGGATAAGAATATGAATATAACTAAACAGCGAATTCTTGCAGTGTCGGAAGAATGGTTCAAACGATGGGAGGCTGGCTTTAACGGCGAATGCGGTTCCGAGGAAACACGAAAAGAGGATGCCATGGTCGAGCGGCTATTTCGTCCGGTGGGTTTCAGCTTTAAATCCGGACACTGTCTAGGGCGTACTCGCCAGAGCAAGGCGAATATTTTGGTATACTTTACACACTTGTAGATGAACAGGCAGCCGAGATACGGTAGGTGAGTGCCGGCTGGAGGGGGGAGGGGGTAAACACTCGAACCTTCAGAAAATCTACTGTGACGTGTCGGGGCCACCGTACGATCCGAAGGGCAGAACGTGCAAAAGGTCCGTCGCAGAACCTTTTGGAGCGTCGCCGAGCATCGCCTTCCGCGAGGACATCCTACACCCTGACAACACCACAAGTCATGTGACCTACGGTCGGTCGAGTGTTTTTTTTTGAGGCCTAGGCCGAGTTTAGGCTAAGCTTTAACTTTGCGTAGGCTTGGTTTCGGCTTAGTTTAGGTTAGGCTTAGGCTTAGGCTTAGGCTTAGGCTTAGGCTTAGGCTTAGGCTTAGGCTTAGGCTTAGGCTTCGGCTTAGGCTTAGGCTTAGGCTTAGGCTTAGGCTTAGGCTTAGGCTTCGGCTTAGGCTTAGGTTTTGGTTTTTTTTTGTTTTTTTTTTGGTTTTGGCTTCGGGGGGAAAGGGGATGCTCGGGCAGTTCATCCCTCTCCGCGGCCCCATCCCAGTTGGCGAGCGTGGTATAGTGGATAGCGCGCTGGGCTGTCATTCTCACGGTGCGGGTTCGACCCCCGCCTGGTGCACACTTCTTTTGCTTTTTCGCGCAAACCATCAGTCTAGAGGCCTTTAAGATCTGAGATCACAAAAAAAATCGTTGTTCAGTGTGCGAAGCGGGATATTTCTGCTCCGAGGGCTCCGGAGATTCCTGGCCAGCAGCACTCTCGGGTCCGTTGGGCGAGCGGGTGGGCTGCTGGGACAAAGTGAATAAACCGACGCCCTACTCGTCGGGAATCTGCGGTAAGTGGCATTTTACTTTCTTTCGTATCTCTTTTTTCCACTTCATTTTGTTTGGTCGTTTTCAGTGGCCGAATCCGCTCCGCCTCACATTGTCTATACGGTGAGTATTGCCCCGTCTAGGCCTCTGGGACGCTGGGGTACTGAGCCGCAGGGGTTGCGGCTGGCTGCATAGCGCGTACACCGTGGCGGCCTACATAGGAGCGCCGCGTGGGGCAAGGTGTCGCCCCTTGGGGGGAGAGCAGAACTCAATCTCCTCTGTAGTCAAGGAGATTGTACCCAACTGTTCGTGTAGTTGAATAATATGTATTAATCTTATAATCGCTCTAGATAGATTAGTGAACTACTCATTTATTAGGCACCATTAATAGACGCGGCTTCCCAATAATATTAATCCCCACATAATTTAGTCTAACCAGGTTTTCCCCTTAATCTATAAGCTAACGATTATCCTACTGTAGAAATGCCTACTAGATGGTCTAGAGGAGATCCATCAGTCACTCTGCCCAGGCCTTCCTATCGGAGGGCGGCCGAAAGGGGCGGAGCCATAGATAAAAGGATAAGCTACTGAAGGCCCGAAAGGGGACCTCAAACTACGACCGAATGTGGTGTCGCCATGACGCCACACAAGGGGGTGCTCGGGCAGGTCATCCCTCTCCGCCGCCCCCTCCCAGTTGGTGAGCGTGGTATAGTGGATAGCGCGCTGGGCTGTCGTTCTCACGGTGCGGGTTCGACCCCGCCCGGTGAAAAATTCTTTTGTTTTTTTCGCGAAAACCATCGTTCGAATTCGATCGATATATTTTTAAATTCGAGCGCTTTCACGTCCAAACAGGGGCAAGAGGTCATGCGGCGCGGTCGCGTTGCGGTCACATCTCACTTCGAAGCCCCTTTAAAGGCCTAAACTACAGACTGCCGTTTCGGCGCCTACATACGTTTCCCTTGCAGGCCTCCGCCGACCTGAAACGTCTGATCGAGTCCCGCCAGGGTCGCCTCGGCTACGGTGTGCTCTTCCCGCGTGGGCCGAACGACTTCACCGACTTCAAGCCGTTCCACTATGTAAGGTGCTTGGGTGGAGACTGATACGTCTGATCATCTCCAGGACGTGGCATGTGATGTGGCCCATCGGCCGTGGCACCCCGTCGAAGGATGCGTCGTCGTCGAGCGTCACCTGCCATCCACGACAGTCACGGAGACTGCGGAAACAATCGGGGCCGACTGGGGCATCGCCTTCTACGAGACAGTCCTCAATAACGACGGCGTCACCTGGACGCACGTTGTCTATGGTCGGTCCGCAAAAAAACGACGAAAATAACCATACAGTGTGTGTCAAAACGATAGAGCCACACTTTGCATATCATTAGCATCAAGTTTAAAAGTCTCTAGAACGATGGGCTTTCGCGCAAAAGCAAAAAGACAGTTGCACCGGGCGGGGGTCGAACCCGCACCGTGAGAATGACAGCCCAGCGCGCTATCCACTCTACCACGCTCACCAACTGGGAGGGGGCGGCGGAGCGGGATGAACTGCCAGAGCACCACCTTCCCACGCGGCGCTCCTAAGTACGCCGCCACGGTGTCCGCGCTCTGCAGCCAGCCGCCACCCCTGCGGCTGAGCACTAACGTCCCAGAGGCCCTTAAAGACCGTCAGAACGATCAAAATTTCGTTAAAAGCAAGAAATTACGCACCGGGCGGGGATTGAACCCGCGATGGTTCGCTCCACAGCCCAACGCGCTAGCCACTATACCACAGGGCCGAGCGGAGAAGGCAGTCACAGGCGCCCCAAACCCCAGAGGGCCTTTGCCCAGTACGAGGCACCACTAATGACGCCTCTCTCTGCGCGTTCTTGGGGGCCGCACCCTCGGGGTGACAGTGTGCGTTCAAGAGTTCTAGCAGTCCTTAAGCTTGCAAATTATATTCTAATGGCCATTCAAAGCGAATTTTCATTACTGACCTCCGGAGTTTTCCGGGTGATGGTCAATTTGCATAGAATTGAACGTCGTATCGGCAATTGGCATCTAATTTGCAAGCGCAAACTTGATGCTAATGATATGTAAAGTGTGGCTCTATCGTTTTGACACTGCTGTTTTTGTACATGTACCAAATTCCCAAACTTTAGCGTGCGCCCTGCCGAGCACGGCACCCTACTACGTCTCGTTCTGCAGCAACGGAAAGGAGTCTGACATTGTGACGGGATGCTGGTCGAGGGCTTGGAGACCTGCGCCTAACGACCATACGGCATGCGGTACGTTGTTCAGTTCTGGGCTGTTAGCGGGGGGGGGGGGGACCACTTGGGTTAGAGTGCAGTTTACCCCCCTCCCCCACCTACCGTATCTCGGATCCCTGTTCATCTACAGGTGTGTAAAGTATACCAAAATGTTCGTCTTGCTCTGGCGAGTATTTTGGTATACTTTACACACCTGTAGATGAACAGGGAGCCGAGATACCGTAGGTGGGGGTCGGCTGGGGGGGGAAGGGGGGTAAACAGCATTCAAGCCACCACTGGTTGTTTTCCATCAGCTTCTACGAGCTGTTCCCCCCTTTCAGATGACCCGACGACCACCAAGGCGAAGATCTCTGCCGAGTGGCCGCACAAGTTGGCGGTGTTGCACAGTCCGGCTAGTCGGGGAATACGCACGTTGCTGACCCGCTACGTCGAGCTGAACGATCCCAACAACGCCGGAAGCCGAGGAGCGATCTCAGCAAGTTTTTAGCTATTTTGTGGGCCCAAAAAGCTTTAAAAAACTATACAAAAAATGTATTTTGAAGCCGAAGAAATTAAAAAATTACTTTAAAAAGGTTTTTCGCTGTTAGTTTTGGTTTTCTATAGCTGTTGAAAGTTTTTTTACTTAGAATATTGCTAAAACTGGTTCTTTTGCATTATCGGGGGGGGGGGCTTTTTCTTATGCGTTCAAAAGTGTTTACTAATATAATGGCAAATAGTTTTATATTCCTTTTTTCTGTAAAATTTGACTCCATTTCACGTGAAGAAGGTAAAAAATCGTAAATTGTATGGTAAAAAATTTTTAGATGAGTTTTTGGTGTAAAAAGGCCGTTTTGGTCGAAACATCGATTTTTTTTTGCTTAGCAAATCCCTCCCCTCCCTCCCCACCGATAATGCAAAAGAACCTGTTAGAACCTCCTGAACAACCACTCGTTCCCGGGGTATACGTGACATTTCCAGGGGACTCCACTCGATTTCGCGCCCATCTATACGCGGGGCAAAGAGATCAAGTACGAGGTATGGGTGCCACCTAAAAACCTTTTCAATTTTTTTCGGATTTTTTTTAATAACAGCTGAGTTTCCACCGGGGCCTAGCTTGTGCAGAATTTTGCGCTGATTCCGAATATGGTTTCCAAACCTCCGGATTCGCGATTTTTCGAAAGTTATGGACGATTAATCACCGAGAAACCCCAAATATGAGCCGCTTTTTATGGTTTTTCTGACTTAATTCGTTCATAACTTTCGAAAAGTCGCGATTACGCAAATTTTGAAAACAGATTCGGAATCAGCGCACAATTCTGCACAAGATAGGCCTCGTCCCAACTTGACGACGTCACTAAAAACATCTTCTTTTTAGCCGGAATGGCTGATAACTACCACCACAAAATCCACCACCACGGTATCCACTCAGTCGACGAATGCCACGATGGCCGTGAATACGACGAAGGCCACCACAACGACTACTACGAGGAGCACGACAACTGAGAGGCCGTGGAGGTAGAGAGAGTGAGAGAGAGTGCGAGAGAGAGAGAGAGAGAGAGAGAGAGAGAGAGAGCGCGAGAGAGATAGCAAGAGAGAGCGAGAGAGAGAGCGAGAGAGAGTGAGAGCGAGAGAGAGATAGAAAGAGAGAGAGAGAGAGAGAGAGAGAGAGAGAGAGAGAGAGTGAGGGCGAGAGAGAGGGAGAGTGAGCGATAGAGAGCGAGCAAGTGAGGGAGAGGGAGAGCGAGAGAGGGAGAGAGAGCGAGAGAGGGAGTGAGAGGGAGAGAGAGCGAGAGCGATTGAGAGAAAGAGAGCGAGTGAGAGAGAGCGTGAGAGTGACAGAGAGAGTGACAGAGAGAGTGACAGAGAGAGAAAAAGAGAAAGAGAAAGAGAAAGAGAAAGAGAAAGAGAGAGAGAGGGAGAGAGAGAGAGAGAGAGAGAGAGAGAGAGAGAGAGAGAGAGAGAGAGAGATAGAGAGAGAAAAGAGCGAGAGAGGCAGAGAAAGAGAGAGTGAGAGAGAATGAGAGAGAGGGGAGAGTGAGAGAACGAGAGAGAGAGAGAGAGAGAGTGAGAGAGAGTGTGAGAGAGAGTGAGAGAGAGTGGGAGGGAGAGAGAGAGTGAGTGAGATCTCTACCAATTTGTAGTGACGAAGAGTTGATGCACATCAATTCCGGCATCTTGTGCATGGTCGCGTTGCTCTTCCTCACCATCTACTTCAAGTGCAGTGAGTTTTACGGTTCTAGGCTGTTAGCCGGGGGGGGACGGATTTTTGTTACGTTTGAAACACTTATTTTATCTATTTTTATGGTATTTTTTGTTTCCCAGAAAGATGATTAAAATTTTTCAAAAATTGAACGATTTTTATGTTTTGGTAATTTTTCTTGCATTCTTCAAACATTTTCTAAGTTTTATATTTTGGCTTTTTATGTATAAAAATTGCGTAAAATGCTATAAAAATGGCATAGATTTTTTTGTAGGGCCGTACGCTATTGCGGGAATCAATTTTGTCCCTCCCCCCCCCCGCTCAGAGTGAAGTACCACTATTTTTACTTTTTTTTGCAGAAAAATACGAGGCACCGCCGCGAGTGACCTGGCTGGAGGTGACGACGCCAGAAGCTGCACACACTCAAAATCCGCCGAAACAAACGGCCGACATGGCCAAGTCGGCCAGGAGCAGCGCCACAGTCTAGCCCACGTCTTCAACAAGTTCAGCGCCAATCTCTCTCTTCTTTTAATATTCCATATCCATTTGTCGCTATGATTTCGGCTTGTCCATTTCTCTATTTCGTTGTTTTTGGACACTCGTGTTGTGATTACAGTAAAGATGTGCTACCGATAAATGGGTTACAAGTCTTGGATTTTTGGAGCTTTTGCAATTTCGGGGGGGGCGGGCTTTTTTGCATCTAAATCGAGCAGTGTTTCAGCATTTAAGGTGTCATTTTTGCTACTTTTCACGTAAAAAATTTACAAAAAGTTCTATTAAAAATTAATAACTATCGATTTTTCTACCAAAATGCCGATTTATTTTTGTGGATGATTTTCCTACTAGAAATATAGTTAAATTCAACTAAACATTATTAAAATAATTAATGCGACGTTACTAGAGATTTCTAGGCTTATAGGAAAACCCCCCGTTAATGGAAAAGTACCTAAAGATATAACGGGATTTTCTATTTTCACTTGATCCGAATTATTTTTAGTAAATTGCGTCATGATATATTAATCAGATAAATCATATTTATTTTCACACAAAATTCAGCATGGCGCGGGTCCGTTCGACGAGCATGTGGATGACGTGCGTGTTCTTTCGGGCGGCTTTTCTGAAAACAACCGAGAAATTTTTATGATAGAATCTCTGCCAGATTGTCTCTTCTTCCCTCGCTCAATTTCCTCAAAGAATCCCTGCTAGCTTGCCAGGCATCAAAATCTGTAAAACCGGTTGAGTCTGGACGACGAAATAATCTGAAAATTTTCAGTTTTAGCGGGCTAATTGTTGAAATATACTTTTACAAAACTTTTGTAGAGGTATTTCCGCTAAATTTTGACGATTTTACAATAGATTTTTTGGAGGCCGCGACACGCACGCGCGCCTTTCCATTGCGTAATGGGTTGCGTCGCGTTGCTAGTGTCCCGAATGGCGCGTGTGCGTCGCGTGTCGCGGCACCGCTCATTTATTTTTATTTAGTTTCTAGGCCGTTGGCAAATTAGCGCCCCAAAGTGTTGCTCTTAGCACAAAAAGAGCGAAACATTTTACGTTAATCCAGATTTTTTTTCTGGTTCTCAACATTTTCGCTAGGGGCAGGCCAGCAGCGAGTATTTGAGGAAATTAAAATTAGATAAGGCTTTTCGAGTAAACTAACCCACTGAATTTTGAGTTCACAACAACGCCAAAATTTTGATGTTTCAAGAAAGGGCAAATAAAAGCCGTCGCGTGAGAGTAATAATTGCATCCTGGTATGGAATTTTATGGATATCGAAAATTACTGCCAATATTGGCTGCTAATAATTACTGGCAAAGATTGAAATGCTAATAACATGACCGAAAATGATCGAGTATTAACGGGTTGAGTCGCAGCTCCTAGCAAAAAAAGAACGAAACATTTTTCGTCAATTCAAACTTTTTGCTAGCTTCCAAAATTTCAGCATATGGCAGGCTAGGAGAAAGCATTTGTGGAATCTTGCCAAAAAATAGAAAATTATTATTAAGCTTTCAGCTAAATTTCAAATTAAAAACCTCCAAAAATGTTGATGTTTCAAGAAAAGTGGGCGTCAAAAACGGAACCCATGAGATATTGCTTCAAGGGTTCCGGATCATAATTTTATCCACCGTAATTACGGGGTAAAGAGATCGTAATCCATTCGCATTAGAACGCGACGCGTGCACGTTGCGTGTCGTAGTGCGGAAAAATCGATAGTAAACGACTGCCAAGGATTTTTATAGCTGTGACCGAGGTACGATTAACGAGACACGTCGGCTCTGCTAGCACAAAAAGAACGAAACATTTTTCGTTAATTCAGATTTTTGCTAGCCTTCCAACATTTTCTCTGACGGGAGGCTAGCAGAGAGCATTTGAGGAACCGTGCCAAAAAATAGAAAACCGTCTTTGAGCCTCAACTAAGCTGGTGAATTTTTAACGACTCCAAAATTTTGATGTTTCAAGAAATGTGGACGTCAAGATCAGGCCAATGGGGGTAATATCGGACACGTTCTGGCTGATGATTTTCGTATCGTTTTTTTGGTACCAATATAAGCCTATAGATTTTTCCGTCCCCGCCAGACGCAACGCTTCCGTCTTACTCGGCCAGCTTATCAACGAGTCGTAATCCATTACGCAGTAGAAATTCGGGACGTACGCGTTGCGTGTCGTATTGCGGAAAAATCGATAAAAAACTGTCAAAAAATAAGATATTCCAAAAGTCATAAAAGCTATAGTTATTCTCATTTTACGGGTTGTAGCTTCTGCCGATTAGCCACCTCATTTGTCTCTGCTAGCACCAAAATATTGAAACGTTTTTTTGCTAATTCAGATTTTTTTGCTAGCTTTTTTGATATTTTCGCATATGGTCGGCTAGCAGAGTGCATTTGAGGAATGATGCCAAAAACAGAAACCTTTTTCTGAGCCTTCCACTGATATGGCAAATTCTCAACAACACCAAATTTTTGATGTTTCAAGTAAAATGGCTGTTGAAAGCGCAGCCCGGCACGGTAATATCCGGCGGATTTTATTTTATATGAAGCTTATAGATTTTTGCGTCCCCGCCACACGCAACGCTTACGCCTCACTTGGCCTTATCAGCGAGTCGTAATCCATTACGCAATGGAAATTCGGGACGTACGCGTTGCGTGTCGGAGTGCAGAAAATCGATACGGAAAACACTACCAATAAGAAGATAATCCAAAAGTAATAAAAACCTATAGTTATTATTCTCATTTTTTCGTTATGGACCCGTCACCGATTAGCGACCCCATTTGGCTCTGTTTGCCCAAAAACAATGAAACATTTTTCGTCAATTCAGATTTTTTTGCTAGTTTTTCGATATTTTAGCATATGGCAGGCTAGCAGAGAGCGCTTCAGAGATTATAGAAAAAAGATAGAAAATTATTTTTGAGCCTCCGGCTATCCTATCCTACTATATATAAAAAAATAGTGTCTGTGTGTGTGTGTGTGTATATTTGCATTCAACTTCCGTAAGTATGTACCGTACCTACAGCCTCAAGGGAAGGTTTTTAAGGTACGTATGATACGTCATTAGGTGCGTAAGGATCCCGAGATGAGTGCACATATATAAGATTTAGGAAAATCGGCTGTTTTCGCTATTAAAAATAAGTTTTTGTAAAGATTTTCAAAAACCTCTTTGTTAGGAGGCAATTTGCATGCGTCGGAAGTAGGGAGGGCCTATATAAAGGGACAGAGGAGCTGTTTTTCACTTTTTTTCTTGCTAGAATTTAGGGAGAAGCATGCAAACTGAGGACTTTCACAGGTCCTCGACGGGGCCAGGGTTGAAAAGCCGCATGAGCGGTTTCAACCCTGGTTAAATTCTAAAAACAGCGAAAACGTGATGTTTCAAGAACCGTGTATGTCAAAAACCAGGCCATTGAGGGTAATTTGTTTTGATGTGGATTTACTTATTGTTTTTGGTATCAATAGAAGCCAATGGATTTTACGAGGATGAACGGACTAGTGAGAATTGTAAGGAGCTTGTAAAAGAGGGTGTTTCCATAATTTAATTAGTCGATTTCTTCTCTATAAAAACATTGGGAAAACGATAACTTTTCGAGCAAAAATTAACTAGCACAGATTCTTTTCGAGAATCTGGATTCTTATATATTATAAACCTTAAAAAGGTGACATGTACCATCGACGATAAATTAGCGAGCAAAAAATTGCCCAGCAGAGAAGGCTTTGCGGAAAACTTCACGTTTTCCATTCCCCTTAAAGCTTGAAAACAGGGTACGCGAACGTAAAAACTCCTATTTACGCATCAGTTTCGGTCACAAAATGCGGATTTCACGATTAGAATAATCAACAAGCAGTCGCCCGATAATTAAGTAACTCAAGTCCTTCCGATAGCGCCAAAAAGTTGCATCATCGTTTTTCGAACGCCGGGTTGTGAAGAGATCTTCGGAGCAAAATGGCAAAACAAAATGTGTTCAACGATTTAAATCTTCTCAAACCTAAGATTCTATCAAATATTCGATAATAAATTAAATTCATATTAATTATTAAATCAAAATCTAAGATCAGGTTCAAGGTTGCTTATCGGAAAACCCGTCGTTTCATCACGGCACTAAATTCACGCCTAAAAATTGGCTAGCTGAGATGCGTTGCGGAAATCTTGATGTTTTCCGTGTATTTAAACCTGAAAAACCCGGCACGCACGCACGGCCAGACGAAGACCCCAGATTTGCGCAGCAATTTGGACCAGAAAAAAAGGATAAGGCGGTTAGACAAATCGAGCATGTCGCGACCATGAATTAAGAAATTCAAATTCTGCGGATAGCGCTAAAGAATGAATCAACGTTTTTCAAACACCGGGTTGTGAAGAGCTGTCTGGGAACCAAGTTGCAAAAAAAGTGCTTCAACAATTTAAATACCCGATTCCCTCTCGGGAACGATAATTTGACTTCATCATTGCCAAGTTCACCAATAGAAATTAACTAGCAGAGATGCTTTGCGGAAATATTCCTGTTTTTCTGTGTCTGTAAAACTTGAAAACAAGCTATTCATGTATTTGGTTCGGAAATGCCGAATTTTTACAGGATGAGAATGCTACGAAAATAAGAACAAGAGCTTGTTCCGACTGCGCAAATAACGTGAAACATTATTTTCGAAACCGAACGATTGTAAAGAGGGGAACCAGATTTTCAAAATGTGTTAAAACAATTTAAATGCCCGATTCCTTCTCTGGAAAAATAGTTTTAGGTTTTTTCATGGTTAAATCCACGAATAAAAATTAGCCTGCAGAGATTCCATGCGGAAATATTGAGATTGTCATTTTTACGAATGGGCAAAGCATTGATAACATGATACAAGCAAATTAAGAGCTTCAGTTTGAAAGAAAATCATATAAAAATTGAAACATTGTTTTCGGCTGTCTGATCGCGATGCGAATTTATGATTCGTGATTAGAGATGGTACAGGAAAATTAAAAGTATAAGCTTTTTTCGATAAAAGAAAAAGGTTGA